GTCTTCAAAGTCCGTCACTGCTATGTTAAGATAATGGATTAATAAATATAGATTAAAATATAAAGACAGGGAATGTATAGTATGGGTTGCAACAATCTTGGTGCTATCTTCACTGTTCTAGGGATGAAAATTTCTCTTTAAAGACAATCCACAATAAGCTTGTCAGACCTCAGTAACTGAACTCTGACTTACAAAGATGATTATTAAATGTTGGTACTTCTCAGGCAAAATAATAGCACTTCACCTGAAATCTGAATATTCAGTGTGGAAAAGAAATAGTAGGTCCTCTTTAAAATGAATATAAATATGCTAAGAAGTTTGCTTTCTATTTTTTAATACAAGCTTAAAAGCATTTAGTCTTGCATTGTTTTGTTTTTTAAATCACATTTAGCCATTTACAGCTGAAAAAATATGAATTAAATTAGAAAAGAAAACTTACCTAACAAAGGGTGATTTTTGTTTCTCTCTCTGGCCAAATGCCTCTTCCCAAACATTCTGGGGAAAACAACACAAAGAAATGTGGCTATTAAATATAGATTCAGGAACAATTGTCCTCATAAACAAGTACTTTCAAACAACTGAAGAGGTACAGAGTTCTGTATAAAAGGATTTTTAAAAACTAAAAATTGTTAAAGAAGGAGCAAAGGAGTATTATTAATTGTTCCAGGATCAGGGAAGTAAATAAATAGTGAAGTACACAAAGAAAAAAAGAACAAAGCACATTTGGGTTAGTGACCTATTGCTATTCTCTTCCTGTTGGAGAGCAAGAAGTTCACTGAGGACCGAGCTAAGAGCTAAATGTAAATGCTAAAGCTCTCAGACACCAAACCCTCCCCTTGTATGTCGTATTCCAGCAGGCCAGTACTAGCAGCATTTCTAATTTCACACAATCAAAAACTTACTATTCCTACGCCCTGATTCTGTAAGAGATGGGAATGAACTATCAATAATGTTACTCACATACATCTTCTATGGCCAAAATATTCATAAATCTTCCCTGGGTTGGAGATGTTTTTCATCATCTTCTCCGGGAGTTTCTTGAAGTTGTATGCAGGTAGCATGGATCTTAGATAGGTTACCTCATCACAGGACACCAAACCTGGATAAGCAGTTATCATTCTGGCCACGAGACTCACTTTTGGGCCAATAACTGTGTCAGAAAGACAGTAAAGAAAAGGGTGGAGAATTCTGGATCATGTCTTCCACCTTCATCCCCTAAGTCACAGAGCTAACAGTGACAGAGCTATATTCTACCTGTATATTCGTGTCTTGCTACTGCTCCAACCACACCACAGAATACCGGTCCATTGGTGATACTGATGGACACAAGCCTGGCGATGAGAAAGGCAACAGTGGGTAAATACACAGTCAGAAGATGCCAAGTCAGACACTAATCTGCCACTCCCTAGATCCAGAAGTCTAGTGTTAAGAGTTCAGAATGACAAAGGCCAGGGAGATGATCAAAAGGAAAAGAATGGCCCTCTACTTCAGGAGTTTAGCTGAGGGTTATTATTAGTTGGAGGTAAAAAGATTTAAAAAAATCTTATAACTGTCAGATGATTTATATATGCTTTTTGGAGTACTTTCAAATTGATCACCTCATCTGATCCTTTGAGAAATAATTAACAACAAAACCTGGATGGTAGGTAAGGCAAATATTTTAACACCATTTAACCAAAGAAAAAACTGAAGAGAACTTATACTCCCACTCCCTAAATCTATTAAAATTTTTAAAAAGGAAAAAAAACCTGAAGGGATCAATTAACTTTTCTAGAGTTATATAGCAAAAATAAACAGTAGAGTCAGAATGAGAATCCCAGCCTCCTGACCCCTAGACCAATGTTATTTCTACTATATCTCGCTCCCTCAGATAAAACCCAAAAATGAAAAATAGATCAATAGATGTCAATACAGGATTAATAGATCAAATACTGCTAGAAAGTCAGAGTAAAGGAATAATCGGAATGTTAGGACTGCAGATGGAAGTCTTCCTGAAGCAAATTAATACTTGGAATATATTTTTTAATGAGTAATATTTTTCATTCATTCATACACACATACATTCATTCATTCAATAAGCATTGAGAAGTATACACAGTGCCAATTACTTGGTTGGATGTTTAGAATATCCTTCCCTGTAGAAGTTCAGTCTGGGGAGGAGAATGGCAGGTACTGAGGGAGGGGAAGCAAGATAAATACTCCACACCGTAGATTTGTCTAGCACATTAAACAGAGCAACCAGAACAGGTGCACTAACTCATACGAGAGAGTAGGAAGAGCATTCATAAAGAGGAGGACATTTGGTTGGACCTTTAAAGTTGAAGACACTGCTAAATGGCACCCTCTCTAGTGAGAAAATGTATAGACTTGAAAAAGTCTGGTGTGGTCATCAAAACCAAGTCCTTCGAGGTGGCTAGAGCACAGTCGGTGTTTGGAGTAGAGAGAGGTGATGTGAGAAGTGGCCCTACCTAGGCTAGGCATGGAAGAGCACTGGAGATACGAATTATTCAAAAAGTGAGCATACACTGTTCTGGGTGAGGCCAAGGCCCAAAGGTGGCAATGAGCAATTCTTAAATAATAGAGAATAAGCAGATTTACTTGACTGTCATGAAGATTTCACGTGATAGGGTAACAAAATATGTGGATGGAGAAAGAGGGTGCACTGAGACATAATTAGTTTCAAGTTAAATCTACAAACGAACAATTTTCAGTGGTTCATAAAGAACATGAGAAGTGGCATGATGCTAACACTATTGTCTCCTATGCCAATCAAAATTCTTCTGCCTTCCTCTAAGGACAGGATTTAGGCTTCTTGCTGTTCATTCACTGGGCCCACTGCCCCTAGGGTGAATAAAAGAAATGCTCAGGACAAGACCATGTAGTTGGTTCTGCTACCACACCAAGAACAAGAAAGTGAACAGGGTCTTTGAAAATGAAGACACAGAAGGCAGTTTGGGGTCTGGGTGAGAGCTGGTGTGATGCAGAGGAATGAGTAACGATATCTGCTACCAAGGCCACATAGGCCCCTCTGAAACCTCCACATCTGCTCAGCATTTCCAAAAATATGTTCCTCAGAACACTACTTCTTCTGCATGTTTACGGGTCTTTCTGGAGAAAAGTGTTTGGTGATCAAGTAAATTTGGGGAATGGGGAATAAAACTAAATATAACAAATTTCTTTACCATAAGATTACTCAGAACCTTTGGTATGTTAATGTTCACTGTGAACCTCTAAGAAGGAAATACCATTTGCATCACTTCCCAAACATATTTGGTCACAAAAACTCTTTTTTTTTAAAATGTATGAGTATGTTAAGGTACCAGTGTTCCACCAAACACACTTTGAGAAATACTAAATTAGTAATTATCTTCAAGGAAAACAACACTGACCTTGAAACATAGCTTTCAGGCCCTGACATCTATTCGGCTTACCAACAGAACCTCTCTGGGTCATAGTTTCTTTACGTTAAGGAGGTCAGATTTGATGAACTCTAATATCCCATCTAGTTAACATTTATTATATTCTAAACTAAATAAGACCGAAATGACCAAGTTATGGCCTAACAGTCACAGAAGACATCCCTAAGGGCATTGTAAGACAGCCTCTAAAGGCCAAAGAAATGACTATCTCATTTAAGAATAAGGGCCAAGAGCAGGACCCTTGAGGGCCCAGGTCAGTGCAAAATTCAAGAAAGAACAGACTAGCACTGGAAGGAATGGCTCAGCATATTCATACTGGAGGGAGGTTGTAGGAGTATCTGCAGATCCCACTAAATCTGAAAGAAATGTCAATACACATCTGCCTTAGGCTAAGTATCTGAGTATTTATTAAGCAACTGTAGCATCTTTCTTATCTGTAAAATAAGAAGTCAGATCAGATAATCACTAAATTCCTTTCTAGTACTAACATTCTATGAGTGTGTCTCTACAATTATATCACATTAATAATATATTTGATCCTTTTGGGGGAGCATTTGTATTTTATTAATATAAGACGCAGCTACGGGATAATGAAACAACACAGGATTTGAAGACTGCAGATCTGGGTTTCATTACCAGCTCTGTAAATGCTAGCAACTTCTCTTTTACAGCCTTAATTTTATCGTGTGTAAAAGAGGGATAAAAATTTCCACACTGGTAGCATATACTAAAGTATTCTATAAATGTTAAAGCACTATGTACATGTGTGGTATAATTTTTATCCATCTTGAATAAATTATGGCAAGCAAATCAATCTTTGACTCAATGTTAACACTGTAAATAACAATTTTCAAATCCATTCAAGTATATATTAATACTTTTCCCATAGCTTTCTATTAAAAAAAGTATTTGGAAAATTCCAACCAACTTCGTCATAATGCAACTAGTAAAAAAATGAATTTTTCTATACCTTCATCAGGGCTAGTTTTTTGTGGACGGTGGTGGGGATGGGTGGATATGGAGGAGGGAGATCGGTTAGGTGAAAGGTCCAGAAAAAGCAATAGGATCTGGGAAAGACCAAGAGTGAAAGCCAAGAAGGATGGTGTTAACCAGCTGTGGTTCCTTCCTATCTAGGTGACTGCCCCATAACTTTTCTCACCCTCCCTCGGGACGGCAGCCTTTATGCTGCATCCTCTCCACATACAGGCATGTTATTTGCATTACATTAATTTACACATTTGCTTGTTCCTTTGCAGTGTTGTTGAATCTTGCTAAATTAAAACCAGAACACCCCATTCCTTCACTAACATTAGTTGAAGTTTTAATGTAATATAGCTTGTTACACAATAAGTAGCAGGATATCTGACTTAAGCTTGTGTTATGTGGGAAATAAACTGATCATATAAGACTATTATTTCTCACTCACTTTGAATGCTGATGCATCAAGTTCTCTTGTACTTACTTTCTTAAACATAAAGATCTGGCTCAGCTGGCCACCTCCTCTCTCAATGACTGTAGAGATGTATGAGGTAGCCTCCTGGATAAGATGACACAAATGCAACATCCGTGCTGTCTTGTGGAACTCTAGGCTGACCAAAACCATAGTTACCGTACGGAATTCGGATACATATTCCACAGGGTGGCCTTCATCAATCTACAAAGACACAGTGAGTTACCTTGCCTGTATCTTCAACTCTCAGTATCATGTTTAGGCATTTTAATTCTGCATTTCATGGTGAGTGTGAGAAATAATTTGCGGGTATCAGGCAAAAAATTAAAAGAAAATTCAGGTTGAAGTGGCATAGAATGCACTTGGAATTAAAACTGACTTGAAACGAAATTCGCTGATGAAATTCGTCAGGCTTTTATATTTTCTAAGAGTTAGTTTGACATGTTCAACTCCATTAGTCATTATATCTCTTACTAAGGAATTCACATATGTTCGTATATACACAACCAATCAACACGTTTACAAAGGATACACTCTACACCTTGCTTACAGTATACTAAGTTCTTAAAGGACAAACTGAAAAACAAATATGGCTTTTACTTTCTAGGACTGAGAAATCTAAGTAAAGGTTTAAGACACATTTATCATAGTAATTACATTGATGCAAAGGGAGAAATTTTCTGTGATTTCAATGAAGAGCAGGAGATGAACTGGATTTATGCAAAAAGGTTGTCACATATAAATGAACACCTGTTTGCATGTACACACACACAGTCTACATAATAACTCAAGAACTAGGAAACAACCTTCTTTAAAAGGTTTTTCATTATATGCTTCCGGAGCGTTTGCTTAAGTGCAGAGTCTGGATCCAATTCCAATGCAGTTCTTAGAGTCTCTGAAAAAAGAAAAACAAACAAAATGTCTCCAGCCATGTGGAAAATTAATCTTTAAAATTTGGGGCTCAGGTAGAAAGGACAAAGTAACTTACCAGCACTTGCACGGTAATGTGGCAGATAATCGAGGCACTTGTCAAAATGCTCATCGAAATCAAATGGGTCAATGATCCGCATATCTTTTAGCTACAGAAAGGAAACTGCTCAATTGTGTGCCCACACACCAACTTGATTATCTTTGGTCCCTTACCAGAGGCGCTGAGGGCTCTCTCTCCCTTGTTTACCCTTTCTTTTCCCAGCCTTGCTGTTCTGCTTCATCTATCTTCCTGGGAGAATATCCCCATCCTCCCTCCAAAATTGAGTTCCAATGGTTGTTGGTTTGGTCAGGCAATATGTGAACACCACTGGAGCACTGCCCTATGAGCAGCTTTTCCTGCATGGTAGGAAAACCTTTTAGGATGTGCAATGGATGAGGTCAGCTTCCTACCTTCACAGCTTCATCCTCCCTTATGATTTCCACTTCAAACATGGACTGCTCACACAGCTTCCAGCAGTTCCAGGACAGGACAATCTCATTTGCCTGAGCGAAACGCTGAGCTAGCTGGACATTGTCTACATTCCGCCCAATCACCAAGAGGTATTGCCGCTGCTCATCTCCAACAATAACCTGCGAAATCCGACCTGCAGACAGACCTATCCAGAAAAGGGAGACAAGTGGAGAACAGCCAAACGCAATTGCAAAGCTATGCAAAGGACAGGATCCAGAATCCTCACATGGCTCTATGCATCATGCCAATCTTGTCATTGCCCTCAGGTGCAGAAGTCTTAGGTTAGCTAACCTTTAAAAGTAATACCTTGGCACAGATTTCCTTCTCTTAAATATACTTAGACAGACATTCAAACAAGCCTGGGTTGTATGGAGAAAGAAACAAGAGATGGTAGGCTTCCAACTGTCTTGTCTCTAAATTGCTCTTCTAATGGACAGCTAGGTCCTGATAGCAGAGAACTCAGGGAGAAGACCAGATGGTTATACTCAGAAACTGCTACTATAGTGACCACACCATCCCTTCTCACATGTAACCAGGACTGAATAAGCAGACAGTTGGTATTTCATCAGACATGGGTCTTGCTAAACACTTTTATTCTATCTCCTATTTTCCTGGCCCTGAGGGATTTCTTACTGCTAATATAGTTGAAAAATTGGTTTGGTTGTCAGGGAAAAAGTAACTATAACCAAGAGAAGTATACTCTTAGCTAAGCCACCTAATCCAAGCTAAGAACGGGGGGGAAAAACAGTTTTAAAGAATGGCAAATATTTACAATTTTAGCCAAGATGGAATAACAGGTAGAGAATTTACCTGCATGCCTGAAACAACTAAGGAACTGGAAAAAAATATATGAAACAATGATTTTCAAGATATTGGACATCAGGTAATAAAGGACAGTGATCCCTGAGAAATGGGACACAAATAAGGTGAACTCTGATATGCTAGCTTACTAACTAGAGAGTGTCCAGGCAATATCTCAGGGAGGGGAGGCCTGCATGCAGTGCAGAAGACTGAGTTGAGAGGAAGACATAGCTGGGAGTCTGAGGAGGCCAAGATGGTTAGAGTTCACAGGGCACTGTGAAAAGTACTAGAAAGCACAGAAATGTTCAGGGTGAAAACTCCAGAGATCTGTACTGAGTCCCCCTCAAGTCTTTAGCTGAGTAATGATATGTGCATGAATGTGAGGAAACTACTTGAGGCTGGGGAAAGAACCACCTGAAAAGATTAGAAGGAACAATCCTTGATATCACACAGGGCTGGGAATAGTACCTGTTCCTACTAGTCAGATTGTCAAACTTAATTCACAGGATATCAGGTATAGTACTCAGAAGAGGTTCGTCTCAGGAATGAGACAAAACTGGCCCTAAAGGAAACACTGCTCTGGTCCCCATCCGATAAAGTTTAAAAGCAATTCCTGAAAGGATCAATTTAATCATATCTCAGAACTAAGTTCTAGAATATTTATAGAAATACAAAAAATCCAGCACCCAATAAGGTAAAAATCATAATGTCTGACACCAATAAAAAACTATCAGCATGCAAAGAAGGAAAATATGACTTATAATGAGGAGAAAAATCAATCAGTCAAGCCCAACATAGAATAATACAGACGATAGAATTAACAGACAAGGACATTAAATGTGCTATTACAGCAGTATTCTACATATTCCTGAACCTAAATAAAACAAGTAGAGACATGGAAGATATAAAAAAAAGACCCAAATCAAACTTGTAAGGATAGAAACTACAATGTCTGAGATTAAAAATACACTAGATAGGATCAAAGGCAAATTAGACATTGCAAAAGAAAAGATTTGTAAACTTAAAGACATAGTAATAAAAACTATCCAAAATGAAACATAAGGAGAAAAGATAGAAAAACAATGAGCACAACATCAGTGAGTTTGGGACAATTGCAAACAGCCTAATATGTGGGTAATTAGAGGAGAAGGGGGATAGAAAAAAACTATTTGAAGAAATAGTGGTAGAACACTTTCCAAATTTGACAAAAAACTATTATAATAAAAGCCTACAGATCCAAGAAGCTCATAAACCCCATTCACAAGAAAAATGAAGAAAACTATAACAAGGCACATCATAATCAGATTACCTAAAACCAGAGAAACTTAAAAACAGCCAGAGGGATAGGGGGAAAGATATTGCATACAAAGAAACAAAGACAGAGATGAACGCAAATTTTTTGTTGGAAACACTGCAAGCTAGAAGACAGTGGAACAGCTTTCAGGTAAGAGAGGAAAAAACTCAACTTAGAACTCTATACTCAGTGAAATACCTTGCAAAAACAGATGTGAAATACTTTTTAAGACACACAAAAGTGGAACTAACACATCTCCAACAAACCCATACTATGAAAAACATTAAAGGGAGTTCTTCAGACAATAACAGCTGTTAACAAGAACATGGAGAAGTCCAACTGCTGTTGGGAATGTAAAATAGCACAACCACTTTGGAAAACAGATTGACAATTTTTCAAGAAGTAAAATATACTACACAACCCAGCCTTTCCACTCCTAGGAAAAAGAGAAATGAAAGCATATATCCACACAAAGAATTGTATACAAATGTTCATAACAGCTTTATTTGTATAGCCAAAAACTGACAACAGCTTGAGTGTCAATCAACAAATAAGTGGATAAACAAATTGTAGTACTGTATAGCCATATAATCGAATACCACCCAGACTGGGCTTGGTGGCTCACGCCTGTAATCCTAGCATTCTGGGAGGCCGAGGCGGGAGGAGAGGTGGGAGGATTGCTTGAGGTCAGGAGTTAGAGACCAGCCTCAGCAAGAGTGAGATCCCGTCGCTATTGAAAGAGAGAAATTAGCTGGGCAACTAAAAATAGAAAAAATTAGCTGGGCGTTGTGGTGCATGCCCAGGAGTTTGAGGTTGCTGTGAGCTATGATGACACCATGGCACTTTAGCCTGGGCAACAGAGCAAGACTCTGTCTCAAAAAAAACCCCCAAAAAACAAAAAAACACCCAGAAATAAAAAGAAATGAACTGTTGATACAGGCTACCAAATAAATGAACCTAAAAGTAATTATACTGAATGAAAGTAGCCAAAAAGTACATAGTGTATGATAACACTTAAATAACATTCCTCAGAAATGCAAAATAATACCTAATGACAGAAAGACCAGTGGTTGCATGGGGATGAGGGTGGAGGAATAGTGGAAAAAAGGGTGTGCAAAGGGGCACAAGGAGACTTTTGTAAGTGATATATATGTTCATTCTCTTTATTGTGGTGATGGTTTCAAAAGTATATAAATGTGTCTATGTACAGTATCAATAATCCTTAATAAAACAAATTCCAAAAGAACCAAACAGGAGCAGATCAGAAGAGATGTCGTATAAAACAGAATATGATTCTTCACTACTACTTGAAACATAAAATAGCTGGAGCCAACTTTTGCCCTTAATTCAGAAACTTCTTGGGGAATCTGGATCCCATGAAAGAGCTTTGTGTAAGGAGCTTCCCCTCCAATCCTGACTTTGCCATTGGTGAAACTCTAGCCTCTGTGTGCAGCTTTTAAATTTTTATTATATTTTTGATTATATCAAGCAATAACATAGTTCAAAAACTAGACTATATAAAGAATACATATTAAAAAGTCTTGTTTCCATCCACATACCTATCTATATTATTTTCCCCAATTGGTAATTATTATTAGTTTCTTATGTATCTCTCCAGTGTTTCTTTATACAAATATGAAAAAATAAGAAAAATTATTTTTCCTCCTTACACAGAGGGTAGCATACTAAACACAGGGTTTCGCATCTTACTTTTTTTTCACTTAACTATATTTTGGAGATATTACCCTATCAGAACATCTTATTTTTTTTAAAGTTACAGAGAAACTCATTGAGTAGATATATTATTTATTTAACCAGTCTCCTATAGATGAATTGTTGTCAATCTTTTATTATAAACCATATTGCAATCAATATCTTGTATATAAGACATATCAGACATATGCAGGTAAACTTATAGGATAAATGTTCAGAAGTGGGATTGCTGTGTTAAAGAACAACTGCATTTTTATA